GTCCAGAGACCTGAACACGAAAGGGACAGTGCCATCCATGTGTCTACGGCAGCCAAACAGAACTGAACTAATTTACCTACACGCGTTAGGATGGTGGGGTTAGGGGTCGGGTAGGGGTGGCTTTGAGTATGGATTTAGAATGTTGAATTTCTGTCTCTTTGAAAGTATCTCCACATTCCCAACTTACCAAGTCTCTTACATAGCCTGGCTGTAGATGGCAATGCGAAGAAAGAAAAAGGGAGCAGAAAGAGAAAAAGAAACAAAACAGGTGATCAGGAAAACAGCAATGAAGCAAAGAAAAGGTTGTAGCAGCTGCACCCCAAAATTCCAGCAGAAAACCATGCAGAAAGAAGAGCAAGGTCAACGCAAGAATGAGAATGAAAACGAGGAAGCAGAGGTGACCACCCATTCAAACACGGAGACGTGCAACACCGCAGACGTAAGTGTCACTCAGATTGAAGGCGGAAACTCACAGAAGGAAACAGGCAAGCCCCTCTCTCTCCCCTCACCTGTCAGTTCTTATGGTGAGGGTAAAGCTAATTATTTTAGTAGCAAAACAAAAACTACTCATCAGAAGCCATGACAGCTTTCTGAGGTTTAGTCGGATGACATGGCGCATGCTCAGCTCCTCAGAAGGGAGCTAAGGGTTGCCTTAAGAGCTCATCGGCCACACTGCTCCTTTGTTTGCACAAAAAGGCAGCAGGCCCCAATTACCATCTGCTTTTTGCATCCTTTTTCCTGGAAGGAAAAACAAAAGTTTGCCAAACAGGGCCTTAGGAGCTGTGGCCACACATGTATTACGTCTTTTCAGTTTGGGATGGCAGGGTAATTCTTTTATTTGCAATTAAAAACTCATACCCACTCAAAAGAATCCTAGAAAGTTTAGCTAGAATATGCATAATTGGGGGAAGAAAAGCAGATTAAGTATCAGAGGCTATGCTGATGGAGACTGTGTTGTGGCAGGGTCCCCTGCAGCAAATCATCTTATCTCCTGCCTGGCAGCCAGGGTAGCCATGCAAAGGGGGCAATGGTCAGAGGCTACTCAGACAGGTCTGTGTATTATACTCAGTAAGACTAAAGTCCGGAACAGTCCTTAACCACAGGCCACACACTGCCTTCCTGACACTGATGACAGAACAGAGGATTTTAGGTCACATTTTGTCTACAACTCAAAGACAGGAAACTATCATCTCTGGATACCTGACATCAAAATAATAAACCGCTAAGGTCTGAAAGCATTTGAAGGTAAATGAGTTCATCTGTAGAAACTAGTCTTCTGGCACACAGCTCTTCAGTCAGCCGGCACAGAGCCAGTGCCTCCTACCCCTCCTTTCTAACAGATCTGCATTCCACAAGGCTCCCCGGGCGGCACGTCTGCCATTCCTCACCACTCACTCCCACAGCCCATGACTCCGGGATAAACAATGTCCCTGTGGCGGACACAGCCTTAACCACACACACAGACCATTCCCGGTCAACGTTCTGAACATTTCTGTGGAAAGCGAAACTGTTTCAGATTCATTTAAGAAAACTGTTTAAACTTAAGGAAGGTAACGTTCTGTTTAATCTGGACCTTAATGTTTTAGAATGATCCCTTAAAGATAAAAGCAAAGCTCGATAAAAATGACTTATTTATTTTAGAGGTCTTCTCTGCTCCCTGTCCGATCTGAAGCCTTCCCTTTTATGGCTTGCTGTTCAGTGTAGAGAATCCTGGGGGCTCTCCAGTTGAATTCCCCTGCAGAGGACCTTGTGTGGTCACCAAAGTGCCATTTTCCTGAATAGCAAACCTTTTATGGTATTAATTTCCAGGACAGGAATTCCAAAGAGAGTGAACAAAAGCCATAAATTTTAAGTTAAAATTCATCAAACTTTGTAACTCTGTGTAAGATTTTTTAAGGTTCTATTAGTGTTAAGACATTGATGGAGGGCAAACTATCTCTACCATGTAACATTTTATTAAAAAGCCAGTTAATCTATCTCACCCATACAAGTGTTAAAGATATTCTGGGGAAGTGCTGACATGCTTTTTTGTCCACAGGGAACCAAAGAATTGGGCCCTTTAGGCTGGTTCAGTTCTTGATGGTCCTTTGAGAGTGACCTCCTGGAGTTGTGTAGAATAAACAGGCTCTTGGCACTGCTTCCCAGTATCTATCCCATTAACTTTCTAGAACAGTAACAACCAGTTTAAACTGACCTACGCCAACCCCATTTCCTGTTTTATGTTCTACCAATGCCGGGTAACTTTAAGAGAAGAAAACAGTATTTAAAGCATGTGCATAAAATTATAAAACCAGCCAATTAAGCAGAAGGAGATACCTGCTTGTTCTTATACTTCTTCAGATAGCGAGGGGACACCAGACACTCAGGATTGATGTCCGTTGTGATCTGCTCTGGGATTAGCTGGGGGTCTGGGTTCAGATGCTGCATCTTCAGGAAGGAGAGAATGTTCTGAACCTCTAAGTTGTAAGAACTGTCTGCCATGGTCTTGCCTTTGGAAGCTAACCTGCAGGCTGCCATCCAGTGCGCGTACTGCTTCTCCTGGGGAAAAGAAACACGACGGATGATGCCACATGGTGCTCAGGACCTAGGTATAAGGCAGGGACAGCTGGCCGACTCTCATGGGAGTACAAAGAAAAGTGAGGTTTAATTGGAAAACTTACATTATCACAACGAAGCCAAATTTCATTCATGCCCTCTGCAACCGGAATTAGGAGTTTAATGTTAAATTTTTGGCCCGAAATGTTTACATCTGGGGTAACTTCACATCCTGTAATAATAAATTTAATTATAAAAGTGCATAAAGGAAATCCTAAGCCAACGTAACAGCCTCATTTTGTGAGATCTTATACGCTGAACTCTGCCACAACATTTTAAGAACGCCTCCATGAGGTGGAAGGTGACTGGTGTAGTTTTGGTACTGAAATGACTCTCTAGAGCCAAGATTCAGAAATACATACAGTTATGAACTATGTAAGAATCCAAATGGTCACTTTGGCCTCTGAGTAAATGTTTAAAGTATTAAAGGAAAGAGTAGGTAAAGAGTTCTCTCTTCTTTCCAGGAACATTATTACACACCAACAGTTGCCTTTTGTAGAACAAGGGGGAAGTTGTGTGGTGAAATTAAAACAGATGTGTGGAGACACGCAAATCTGACTGGTTGCTCAAGGTGACTTAGAGTTCATAATTCTGTAACTAGCCCTTAAAAGATACCAAAAACCGAACCATGGATTTTCCTTGACCCATTATCCACATTTTAACTATTCTCTCCCTAAACCCTGTTCTATTCCAACCTCAAATCCCTTTTCTGCCCAGCTGCACCAGCTGAGTTTCTGCTTGGAAGGCTCTTTCTGGCAGCTGGCTGTCTTTGCCCCTCGGCAGGTCTCCTGCAGATGTTCTTTTATTTACTTTGGTGCTCAGGTGGAACAAGACACTCTCGCACACTCTTTACAAGTGAGCTCTACTGGGGTCTCCCTGCATCGTGAGCCAGACCCCATTTACACCATGACATTCACACCCTCGCTCACGGAAGAATAAAAAGCAGAAGCTCTCACCAGCCCCTTCGCGCCGACCACTGCTGCCTAAACCGGCAGTGGTTTCCAAAGCGTGCTGGGAACCGCAGCCCAGGTCTCACACATACCAGACAAACACTCTACTCCTGAATGCCACTCCAGTCCCCGCATGGAGAGGTAAAGACTCCTTCCACCCGAGCCAGCAGGGAGAAACGATGACGTGACAGAGACTACCAAAATGGCAAATGAAGCTAAGTTCCAGCCACAGGCCTGAATGAATAAACGATGCAGCTAGGGGCTGGAGGACACACATGGCCCAGCAGTTAAGGACGCATAAGGATAGCATGCTTGCAAAAGACAGGAATTCAGTTCCCAACTTACTGCCTCTTATTCCAGCTCTGGTGGATTTGATACCCTCTTATAGACTGCCAGGTGCATACACACACACACATGCACACACACACACATGCACACACACACACTCTCTTAAGGAAACTCAAGTTGGCAACTAGGAACCCAGTAGGGACATCCAGTGGATTTGATACCCTCTTATAGACTGCCAGGTGTACACACACACACACACACACACACACGCACGCACGCACGCACGCACGCACGCACGCACGCACGCACGCACGCACGCACGCACGGACACTCTTAAGGAAACTCAAGCTGGCAACTAGGAGCCCAGTAGGGACATCCTGCACTTGCCTCAGGAGCTGGGGGCCAGCAGCGTGAAGACAAGAACTGGATGAGGAGTGGGTGACTGGAGCCACATCCCTAAAGACCCTGCCGGTGCCAGGGAAACAGGCTAGGAGCTCTGCAGCGACCGAGGGTGAAGCAGCAGCAGGATGCCAGCGACAAGGGGACAGGAAATGCAGACATGACAGCCACATGGCTGCAGGTGGGGGAACCCTAATGCTCTTAGTGCTCAAGGTCAGAAAAGACACATCAGGAATTCACTTGACAAGTGAGGTCCTCCCAGAGCTCAAACAAAACATCCACACACAACTGGATACATCAAATGCTGCGGAGACCCCACACGCGTAAAGACGGCGCTAAGCGGCCGAGGACCGACCGACAGATGTCCCGCAGGTCCCCAGAGGCCCTACCTCTGAGGTTCATCTGGTGAGCAGGGGTCCCGCTGGACTCCTCTCGGCTCTTGTAGCAGGAAATGGACGTGTCTTTGAAGGTGCACCAGTACTGCTTGTACCCTTTCAAAGTCAGCTTTTTGGGCCTGCGTAGCAAGCAGAGACAATAACCACCGTGAAGTAACTGTCGAGGCGTGTGAGCAGCTAAGTCTCGGTGCTGAGAAACTCGGCCAGTCTCACAGGCTGAAATTATAGCGTCGGCCGGTGTTTTCCTGGTGTGCCCTCCCTTCGCAGTCTGCTCCAGCAGCAGAGGCCCACAGCCCCCCACTTGTCACTTCAAGCTGCCGCCACCAAAGCCTGCACATGCAGTGGTGCCCACAGCATTGCTGCTGCTGGATCCTCTACATCGCATGTACTCAGCATGACGGCCTCGAGTCATGGCACGGACACGCCCCCTCGAGAGCCAAACACGGAAGGAAGATGGCGTAGGGGAGGTACAGGGAGCCGGAAATCGAGGAAAAGGGAAGCTCTGAACTCGCGCCTTTGTCTCAGAAGCGTTCTATAAAACAGTGATCTACAGTATTTTTAGCCCCAGGGGACCGCTTTACACCGCCAGTTCCCCAGTAGGGCAGCGGACAATCGGTACCGCATCTCCGTCTCCCTCCGGCTTCCCGGCTCAGCTCTCGATTTTGAAGGTTAGAAGTGGATTGCTTAAAAGTCTAGGATAAACCGGGCGTTGGTGGCGCACGCCTTTAATCCCAGCACTCGGGAGGCAGAGGCAGGCGGATCTCTTGTGAGTTCGAGACCGGGCTGGACCGACAGACAGCCTCCAAAACAATACAGAGAAACCCTATCTCATAAAACCAAAAAAAAAAAAAAAAGTCTAGGAAAATCTACTGGGACCTTACAGGAAGGGGCCCAGCAGTACATGAACATGAGCCAATGGAGTCTGGAGCTCTGAGCAAGGTCACAACACTGGCATTCACAGGACACCACTTTTAACACAGACCCCTGGGGGCAGCCACCACTACCTACTGTATGATACAATCAGCCTTGAAGATATGAAGATCAAATAAAATAATGATTGCTGTGGTTTTACCTTAGTCAACATGAATATCTTAGTTTTAAGTGTTTATCTAATTGGTAAATCTTACAGATTTATTTTACAAATAGTTGACAAAATTATTTATTGTTATTTGAAGTCCCTCCCACTTTTATACTTACTTGAACACTTTAATATAGTCAGCAAGTTCTGGAATTGAAGTAATGTCACCCTAGGTAAAGAATTAAAATAATATTTTTCTTAATCTTTTAAATCTAGTTTGGTATCTGATTCTAAAAACTGCTTAATATTTAAAATACAGAGGTTAAAGATACTAATGATATGATCATATTAATGGCCTTGTTACAAAGGCACTGACATCTGTACAACTCCCAAGAATGTATTGTTACTTCTAAATTATAGCTGGAATGGTTTACGCAACATATGGAAACACTGGAAATCATAATGGCACCAAGAAAAATCTTTCTTCACAATAACTCCTTCCTTAGCTTTAAAAACAGGGAGGCTCACTTCTCTCTGTAGTGTATCAAGACTACCATAGGAACCTTACCCAGACTAGATGGTGCTTCCCCTACACCACTTGCAAAACAACGTTTAGAGAGAGCTTCAGTGTGGGAAGCCCTAGGGGCTAGTGACACTATTTCCCCAGAAGGTTCCCTGGGGTGGAGAGTGAGGTCCTGAGGTTGACTCTCCCACCACAAAACTTCTGAAAAATCTACGACCAACTTCTGTACAGAACTAAGCACCTTTCTCCACCTTCTATTCTAGGTGCCTTACATGGCAATGGAAAAACCCACAAAAGGTAAGCTTCACCTTAAGTCATTAGCTAAAGATCCACCCTACCAGAATTGTTGATGTCTTCCCGCCTTCCAAAGTGATCTCCAGATCAGACAGGGCAGCATCGACCTCATCAATGTCTTTGTTGCTGTTGTTCAGATGGTTTTCTGAGGTCATGATTGACAGCTTATTGATATGATACTGAAACCACAACAACATGTTTCCGAAATGACTGTTCAGTTGCAGAACTCTCTAAGACGAAATTACTACCCGACTCTATATTGGATGTTTTTTATCATCTGATTTGCGAAGATAAGACGTGGTGGGGCGGGGCGGGGCTGGAGAGATGACGCTCGGTGGTTAAAAGCACTAAAGCACTGGTTGCTCTCACAGGGAACCCAGGTTTGATTTCTAACACCCACATGGCAGCTACACCCTTCTGTGACTGCAGGTCCCGGAGATTGAGCACCCTCTTCCAGTCTCCACGGATACCGCACAGACAAAAGAGCAGATAACACACCTGGACACATGAAAGTAAGTAGTGTCCTGAGACCGGAAAGAAAAAACTCCAGGGCTGTGGCATCAGTGTGACAGCCCCGCTCAGAAAGAATTAAGCAAAAGGCGTGCAGGCTCTGTGTACACACGACCCAAGGAATTTGGTGTCTGCCTCCCTGGGTGTGATGGGAATTTAGAGTCTGCCGGGCTTGGGCTGTTTTGCGGCGGGGTGGCTGATTTCCAGTGCGTTCTTCCTGGGCTTAGGAAAAGACATTGTACAGAAGCAAGTCCCATGAGGGCTCAGGTCAGGCGTGAAGTCTTCTGCGGGGATGAACTCACCATTCACCCGCTGTCTCACATCCTGGAGAAAATTAGTCCTCATGGGCCGGCAGGCCCGATCACTGGGGAAAATCTCTAATTACCATTATAACCTCAGGAGAAGGTGGAAGCCAGCTCTGCTCTCCCAAGCTCTGCTTTCAAAGCTTCACAGTCCCAGCTATCTAAGAATAACTGTCCATATGTGTGAACAGAACAGAGAATGTGAGTGCAATTAGACGACACTTCTATCTAGCTAGGAAACAGTCTTTGGTATAGAATCTTCTAAAGTATAAAACAGTTGCTTTAGATATACTTGGTGAGTCAGGGTATTAAAAATCTATTAAGTTTTGATGCCTGAGAGATTTTATGGAGAGATCAACAGAATCTGGTGTTACTCTCATTATCTGCTTCTCAAAGCAAAAATGGTTGTGAACTTCTGAAGCATCCATCTACCTGATAAAGTCTCTGTGGGGACACTCAATGCATGGGTCCAGGGTCAATTACCAGTGTCCTGCATTCTAAGACTCCGCAGTAAGTGGTTATACCTTCAAGTTGGGCAAAAATGAGAACTTTGTGATGACAGAGACTTCTGTGACAACCAATGAGAACAAGGTGGGTAGTCACTGTCAGGCATGGCCTCAAAAGTTGAGACTAATAAGAATCATGTGGCCCCTCCCCTTGTATCCCCACCCCACCCCAGTGATCCTGACCCAGCAACTCTGAGACTCAGCCTGAAATCTGCATTTTTCCAAAGCACTGGACTGATCCTGACACAAAAAGTCCTGTTATTATCTTATTAACTCGATAACTTTATCTTTTATCCACAGTTTATTCTGAATTATCTTCTTTCTTCTTGCCTATTTTCCAAGGGGTCTGGGTGCTCCAAGGACAGAGCAGTCCAATGTGTGGGCTGCAGGCTTCTAACCATCCTTTTCAATGGTGAAGAGCAGAAACGTGAGTTTTATTCAGTGTGGTCACACTGTCTTCCTCTTACTAAGATGGCTCCGCCAGCCCGTGTGTCAGCCTTTGGATTTGCACTCCAAAAGCCACTCCCTCCCTTACCCCTCATATATATTATATATAGTCATATAATCTACCTACCTATCTACTGAAATAGTCCAAGCGGCTATGCTTTGGGGCCTTCAGTGACTGTGGGTAGAATGCAGCCCACTGGTACAATGCTCACTTAGCATGTGCAAGACTTTGAGCTATAAACGTGCTATAAAATTAAAACCTATGGCTTTTTTACAGATAGATTTTACGTGTCTTATTCTTGCTTTTGGCAGAAGACAATGAGTCTGTATCTAAAGTGCAAAAGAGATATTTAAAGAGTTGCTCAAGTGGGAGACTCTCAGGGAACCGCGCTGAGATTTAATTTGGGAAGCTCTCCGGACAGTCAAAACGACCAGGAAACTGTAAGATTCTTAACCAGCTGCTCAGTCAGCTCTTTGGAAGAGCTGATGGACTGGGCCGCCCTGTGCCCTCTACTTCCCAACAGTGACCCTGGGCTGTAAATGAACTTACTGGTGCATTTGGAAGGCTGAGAGCGCTTTTCTGTTCTGAGAAGTGAAATCCTCAGGGTGAGAGCTTCTTCACTGAGGGCCAGCCTTGCTTCTCCCACTTCTATTTAAGGAGTACTAATTGCACTGGGACCTTGGGGAAGACTAGGATCCCATCACAGCCCAGGAATGCCGGCCAAAGCCCCACTCAGACACATTGACATCTGGAGAGTCAATCTGGTGACAATGGACCTCACTGCTTCTAAGCACACTGATTTGTCTAAGGCCATTCTGCTGGAGGGTGGAGCAGTAATGGGAATGGGTAATTAATTTTTTAATAAGTAACAATATAATTCTGAAGCATGTGGTATCCAAAGCCCACATGTGGAAAAATATTAGTTTAAAGAGACATTAGCTATCTATTTAATAACTAATATTGTAAAAACATTTGTGTTTATCCTTGTCTCTTGAACCCCTATTATTTAAAGGTGTTATCTCTGCCATAGCCAGTTTGCAATGTGCCTTGTCATCAATTTAATATTATTAGTATTTTATTTTTAAGAGAAAACTGAATTAGCTTCAAGTTACTATGCAATGGGAGGGAAAAGACCAATTTTTTCCACAAGATACAGGAAAGTAACCAAAAGTACCACTGATTCTTAAATACATATGTATAATTTTTGAAAAGATTTATCTATTATAAGTCAGGTGATGGTGGTGTACACCTTTAATCCCAGCACTACAGAGTCAGAGACAGTCAGGGCTACAGTGAGTTTCAGGACAGTCAAGGCTACATAGAGAAACCCTGTTTAGAAAAACCAAAAGTAAGAAGAAAAAAAACAACCACGTCTACTTTTGTAAATGTCCACTTTTACTGTTTAAAATATTCATGTTTAGTGTGTGCATGCATGTGCCATTCACGTGTGCACACGGAGGTGAGGACACCACTGAAAACCAGAGTCTCACTGCAGCCCTGCCCCCCCTTCCCGGGAGAATCACCCACCATGACTTTGTTACCTGCAAGGCTGCAAACATCATCATCTCTTCCTCGGTGCATTCAATCTCTTCCAGGAGAAGAGCCCACTTGGCTTGCTCATAAAGCTGGTTGATTCTGATAGCGTCATACTGCAGAAGGAAAGAAACATGGGCTGTAACAGAGTCTCCAATACCAGAGAGCTCTCAGCCGGGACTATTCACCCGAGGTCGGAGGGATGGCTCAGCAGTTAAGGGTGCTACCTCGAGGAATGGCGTTCAGTTCCTAGCACCCATGTAAGACGGCTCATAAATGCCTGTAATCCCAGCTCCCAAGGGCTCTGACATCTCTGGCCTCTATGGGCACCTGCACTTACATACACTGAAAATTTTAAAATAGAAAGTCTCTAAATAAATAAAATTGTTTATCTTATGAGTGTTCGGCTCCTGTGTACATGTGAACACTACATGCATGCCTGGTGCCTGTTAGGTCCCCTGGAATGGGAGTTATGGATGCTTTAAGCTACCGGGTGGGTGCTGAAGTAATCCAGGACCTCTGCAAGAGTTCTTAAGCAGTGATCCACCTCTCTAGCACCCCACCACACCTTCTTGAGACCAGGGTCTCACTAACAAATAGCCTTAGTTGGTCCGCAACTTTCTGTTTAGACTAACAAGTCTTGAAGTCAGAGATCCTCCTGCCTCTGCCTCCTGGGTGTTGCCATTAAAAGCTTGCGCCACAACGCCCAGCTAAATACTCACGTGTAAAGCATGACAAAAAGCGAATAAAGGTACATATTCATTATCAAATGGTTAACTCTGAAAAAGGGAGAGATCTACTAGTGTCAAGATGACATAAAATACGACAAGAAAATTACTCAGGGATGTAGCTCAGTAGGTGGAAGGGTTGCCCACCAGGAGAGGATTTGATCTCTTGTGCTGAAGGAAAAAAGGGGGTTGGTTCATGTAACAACTAAGGCTACAGTCTCAGCGTACGAAGTCTGACTTGAAGGAAGACATGCTGTACGTGACTGCCGTGCTGGCACTGGGAAGGTAAAGCGGGGGACCCTTGGTTGCTAGGCCAGCCCGGCTGCCCAGCAAGCTCATGTCTCGAAGACAAAGCCCACAAGACTGGGTGCTGACACATGCTAGTAACCAGCACCCAAATTCGGAGAGATCCCAAGTCTGAGGCCGCCTGGGTTTCATATGAAGTTCCAAGTCGGCGATGCAGAATGGCTGGGTTCTGTCTCAAGGAGCAGACACCGGAGAAGGAGCCGGGAGGAGAGGGAAAAATGAGAACTCTAGCTGGCAAGAATTAAAACAAGGCGCAAATACAGATTCTAACACCGTGATTCTGACTTGCCACAACAGAACCCAGTGTGAGACCAAATTAACTACTTTGGGAAATACCTCACTGAAAGAGGAAAAATACCAAAGAGGTAGACCCTTGGGAGGAGGGGCTATTTTAAATATCCAAAACAGACAGAACAGACACCCTTTTTGAAATGTATCTGTCATTAGACTGTCCATTTAATTATATTAGCAAAACGCAGCGTTCTCTTAAAATGTTAACCAAACATTCCACTCCCCAACCTACAACTAAAAGTAGATACAATGTGGCCTGAAAATACTTTTATAGTTCTATTACATGGTTTCTTGTATATATGTTACGTAAAAGTATTACTTGAAGCGAAGCCGGGTGGTGGTGGCTCATGCCTTTAAATCCCAGCATTCGGGAGGCAGAGGCAGGCAGGTGGATCTCTGTGAGTTCGAGAACAGCCTGGTCTACAAGAGCTAGTTCCAGGACAGTCTCCAAAGCCACAGAGGAACCCTGTCTCGGAAAAAAATTTCTTGAGCATACAACGAAAGATAAGATACTAGATCAGTGGTTCTCAATCTGTAGGTCCTGACCCCTTTGGGGTTTGAACAACCCTTTCACAGGGGTGACCCATGACCATTGATATTTATAGTATGACTCTTAACAGTAGCAAAAGTAGCTATGAAGTAGCAACGGGAATGATGGTATGGTTGGGGGGTCACCGCAACATGAGGCGCTGTAGTGAAGGCTCGAGCATTGGGAAGGTTGAGAGCCACTGCTCTAGTTAGAATAAGTACCATTCAGACACGAAGAACGTAGCAGGGAGCCCGCGGCTCTCTCCCCTAAAGACTACAAACCGCTGTGCCTGTCCTTAGGGAAAAAAACCAGACTTTCACTGCAAAGTTAAACTGTAGCAGAAAAGTGCAGTATAACAGAGCAGACTCACCAGTCACAGAAATCAAGTAACAATGGTTAGCTATAAGGTACTATAGCATGTAGACTATAAAACAATATAAAGCCCAGTTTGGCAGTACATGCCTTTAATCCTTGCACTCAGGAGGCAGAGACAGGCAGATCTCTGAGTTCCAGGTCAGGCTGGTCTACAGAGTTGAGTTCCAAGATAGTCAGGGCTACACAGAGAAACTTTGTCTCAAAAAACAAACAAACAAACAAACAAACAAAACAAAAAATAAATAATAAAAATAAAAAATAAATAACAACAACAAAACCCCTCAAAATAATACATACAAAGAGTAATTTTTCAGAAAACTTTTTTTTGGTTTGTTTGTTTGTTTGAGACAGGGTTTCTCTGTAGCTTTGGAGCCTGTCCTGGAACTTGCTTTGCAGACCAGGCTAGTCTCACACTCAAACTCACAGAGATCCGTCTGCTTCTGCCTCCAGAGTGCTGGAAGTAAAGGTGTCCGTCACCACTGCCCGCCTTAGAAAACTATTCTTTCCCTTACAATATAATGATAGATGTTAAATTAACCAGTAACCAGTACCTTTGAAATGTAATTACCTTATCAAAAGAGAAAAAAGTTAACTCATTCTTCCAACCTAGGAAAATACTACATTTATTCAGAATACAAACACCTTTGCCTAACGGTCTGGGTTTTGAATATTATTCAAAACTTGCTACAGTTTCTTAATGCTCAGATGAGGAGGGAAACAGGCAGAAAAGACCCCTCAGGTCCTTGGTACCTTTGGATTCAAATCGAAAAAGCTGTAGTACTTGAAGCGGAGCAGCAAGGCCTCGTTTTCCTTCACGTCTTGCTCCATTAGCGACCTCGAGGAGTCAAGCCACCTGGATGAATCGTGGGAGGACAAAGCAGACAGTCAGCCAAGAATCCACCAGGGACATTCTCTGCTGTGCCTGGCCTCTTACAACTTACCCGTGGCTAGGCCTGGTGATGCATGCCTTTTTAAATCCCAGCACTCGGGAGGCAGAGACAGGCAGATCTCTGTGAGTTCCAGGCCAGCCTGATCTACACAGAGAGTTCCAGGACAGCCAGGGCTCCATAGAGACATCCTGTCTCAAAAAACCCAAAAACTTACCCTTGGTTGGTTTTTGCTTTATCAAGAAGAGCTTGAGGCTTGAACATCTTTGCCAATATTTCTGGTGATGTTACCGGCTGACTGACAGCAAGTATCCCAGGATTGCCTTCTGACAGGGCACTGTCACCAAACCAGGCGGAAGTTGGTGACAAGGGGCTTCCATCATGAGCGTCGTAAGTGGGGGTCATTGTTTTACTGTAAAGTCCGGGGCTGGAGTATATGCTTCCTAGTGAGTGAGAAGAGGCGGTATGAGGACAGGCTCAGGCTCTTAGCTCACTAAGGACACACCACGGCATGAAGCACAATAAGCCACAAGCTTCAATCTGGAAGGAAAGCTTAGCACATTATTCACTGCCTCCAACGGAGACAGCTCCGCTCGCAGAGCACAACACGCGGTACCAAAGCTGTGATGTGATCTGTGATGTGATTAAAGTGGCGGAAACTCTGAGGAACTAGGAAATAAAGCTGAAGCGCACAGACCGACACTGTGTGTGTGCGATTGTGGTGAGGCTCACCTTTCAGAGGGCCAATGTAAAGAACATCGATGCCTATAGGAAAGGAGAGAGAGGAATTCAGAAGGCAAGGGAGAGGCAACAACAGAAGGCAAAAGGATGCAGAGGAAATGGGGGAAGGCGGAGACAGACTTGCCCCAACTCTGAACCATAAGTAAGCGCATCAAAACCTCAGGAGCGTCAACATAAACACAACAATGTTTTGCTCAATGCAAAACGAAGCTGTGCTTTGGTCGAGCGTACCGTGACTTGGTTTATGTACAGGTGAACTAAAGTCGGCGGCGGCACCTCATTTATCTAAGGGCTCCTTAGTATGGCAGGGCTAGGCATACAGTAGTCATGTATGTAAAACACACTGCCTAATGATATAATGCACGCTCATTCACTTGAATAACAGAACTAAGGCTATCAAAGACATCAAGTGAAAACATGTCTTAACTCTGCCTGCTTTGTGAGACAGGGTCTCACACTGTGGTCCTCAAACTTAGAGTGATCCTCCTGACTCGTTCTCTGGCTACGACCATGCTTTTAAGAAAGAAAACAAGCAATTGCTGCCCACTGTCACTGGATGTGGAAGGGAGAGGGTTACTAACTCCCCGTTATCTAACTGAAGAGTATGCTTAGGAGCCCTCCTTCCTCCCCCCCTGTTATCTAACTGAAGAGTATGCTTAGGAGCCCTCCTTCCTCCCCCCCCCCCCCGTGTGACACAGAAGCCGTAAGACGGCACGTGAAACGGAAGGACTTTCACTGGACGTAGAGAATCTTGTCAGCCATCCATATCTGACTCAATATCCCTGTGTCCTGGGTTACGCTCAAACAACCTGTCCATCGGAATGCTGTGGGGCGCAGAGTGGAACTATGTATGAACTCTCTGCTTCAGCCTTAAAGGAGATACGGGGACACAGTTCTCTGGGGGAGTGAGTGAGTCGTTGTTAAACTTCAAATCAGGACACTGAAGCATGGTGCCCATGCTTATCGAAGGCAGGAATCACTTCTCCAGTTCATCGGGGCAGACAGTGACTCTGCTGAGGGAGCACACACAAATGCTATAATGGGAAATATTAACTAATAGGCAGAAACCAGTTTACTTAAAAAAATTGTTGAATAAAACCCTTCATGAAGAATGTCAGATATTGACATTTTTTTCCTAGTATGATATACTAG